CATGCCCTTGCTAACCTCAGATCGTGGCGAGGCGCGAACCCTCGACCTAACGCCTCAAAGTGGCAGACGCTACCGCTTTGCCACGGTGACTACAATAATAAAAAAATAATCAACAGACCAATTAATAAAATACACATAAAAATTGGAATAAGATTAACATACCGTAAAGAATGAACCAACGCACTGATGTCATAAAGAATATAGTATTAAATAAAAATAAAAATAATTCGGGAAAAAAAGAGAGAATCCACTAACAAGTTTACTCGTACATAAGGAAAAAATATATAATATAATTAATAATTTGAAGAAAAGAAAAGAGAACTAATATAAATACAGAGACAAATATACTCATGATTCTAGAGCGAAACGAATCAATTTTTTTTTTTTTTTTGAGTTTGACACCGGGACAGGAAAGAAAATTGCCCTCATTAGGACCGGGCACGAAGAAAACATTAAGATGAAGAGAAAGTGGCAGGTTAAGGACAAGGTAGAAATAAGAGAATGTTACACAATAGGAAAAGGACAAGCTGACAGAACAGTCGAATACTTGAGGACTTAGAGATATGGCAGAATTAGACCCTGAGATGACGATCGATCCGCTTTTTGAAGGAAGATAGGTCTTAAGAATTAGGGAAGACAGAAGGAAAATTTTACAAGAAAAAGTCATATTCACGTTGTTGTTTGCCGTCTTCTGTGTCACTATGAATCCTTATTTGAACGGAGATGGACACAGACATGTTAGAATAAAATCTCGAACATGGATTTGTCCTTCTCCCGAGTCGAGGGCTCTAACCACTGCGCTATTGCGGTCCCCCCAGAAAAGTGATCAAGGAAGGCATCCAAAACCTTAAACATCACCCCAAAAGAATCGCAGCTCATGTCGAAAGATAGCATTGCATGGCACTTCAAGTCCGTAAGGAAACTCGCCAGCATGAACAATGAAGTATTATATTATTCGATTGTCATTGCAAGGCTCATACCTTGTAGCTCTTCATGCTCTCTCTCTCTCTCTCTCTCTCTCTCTCTCTCTCTCTCTCTCTCTCTCTCTCTCTCTCTCTCTCTCTCTCTCTCTCTCTCTCTCAAACACACACACACACACACAGATATATATATATATATATATATATATATATATATATATATATATATATATATATATATATATATATATATATATATATATATATATATATATATATATATATATATGACAAATAATGGTAAATTGCATGTCAAATTCCTCAGACATTAGAACTGCGTCTTGAATAATTATGCAAAGAAAATTCCCCTCATCGGGCCCAGGCACTCCATATAAATGCATAAACATCTATTCTGAGGCATGAACCATTAATGTTTATACATCTTACAACAATTTTATAGATAAAAGATAACATTAAAAAAATAAAAAAAAATCTGTCCATCGTCACACAAAATTTCCATATATCTTATCACTCTTCGGCGGTTAGGATATCTATGAATGTGAAACAGTCTTTTAGTCTATATTTATGGGGTTAACCACTCTTCCTTTACCATAAATATCATAAATTAATCTGCTAACAGTGCTCCCAGGACTATGCTTTTCTTAAGAACAACAACATAAGAGGTAATGAAATGCAGTCCTTCAGTACCACGACTTTAAATAAGAGAATAATTCGTAGCACTCTCCTCCGGCGAATAAAGCCCAGAAATGTCCTTTATTATTATTCATATGAATATAAAAATCCAAAGCGTAAAACAATGGACTCTTTCACCCACCCACTCCCCCAACTCCTCACCCTCCATTCCAGGGTAAGGGAGAGATTCTCCCTTTTAGGGGAGAAGAGTAAAAAATACTGGTGAAAATTACAGAATAATCGTGAACAGAGCAAATAAGAATGAAACTATATATAAGTGTAGATGAAATGAGATGGGAAAAATATCTCATTTCAGGTTTGAAATGGCGAAACTGCATTAGAATTATATATATTACGGCTAGTGAAATTGATGTCGAACCCAAAGTGAAATAGGTTTTTGAAAATGAATTTGCAGTTTGAGATGGTGAAACAGTATAAAAAGGTAAGTATTGGCACCGTTAAAACTAGATTCGAACGCCATATGTAAGCACTCTTGTAAATTGAATGAAACAAGGAATGCTTGAGATGGCGAAACTGCTGTATTGCTTGACATAATTAATGATAAATATGTCGGAAAATTAATAATCAGACAAGGCTTAGAAGACTGGAATATAATTGTACAGGTAAATTACATGTGCGAAATAGCAGTAGGTAATTAAAACAAAAATTAAGGTCACAAGAAGAAAATATAAAAATAAAATGTAAGCAAAAAGAGATAAAAATACTCAAGTAATGCACAAATTAAAAAAAATAATAATAAAGAAAAACAAAAAACAAAAATAAATCGAAACAAATGAATATAAAACTGAAAAATAAGATACATAATCAGTAAATCAGTAATGCACAAGGCAGTAAAAAAAAAAAAAAAAAACTGAAACAGAGCAGCTCTAAATCACGTGGTGCAACTCTCCAAGATGGCTTCACTTCCCCAGCGCCATTTGGAGATAGGGAGAGGCAGTATTTTTCCTGATAGTGATAAACCATTACCAACTTTACAAGCTCAGTGAACATGTAATGTGAGGTCTAGGGTGGAACAGTTTCTCTGTGAACTCGGGCTACAATAAGTGAAACTATGCTTATCTGTTTAATAAAAATGAAATAAGTAGATAAATGCAGTCTGCGTTAGATAATTATTTTATCATCGTATAGGCCTATCATAAGTTTTGTTATGTATTTCCTATATGCATATGATTATTCAAAATTTTTTAGGATCATGTATGCACACACACACACACACACACAGACACATACACACACACACGCACACACACAGTCTTTAAATTCCTTCAAGGTTATTATAGAGTGGATAGGGATCGATATTTTGATATGGCTGGCTCTAGAACTAGAGGTCATAGTTTGAAGCTTCGTAAGAAAACTTCTTTGCAGGATGTAAGGAAATACTTTTTCAGTGTAAGAGTAGTTGATAATTGGAATTGGCTAAGCGAGGAGGTAGTTAATGCTATCTCAATCCATAGTTTTAAGGACAGGTATGATGAGTATCACTAAGTATAAAATGGAACCGATGAGGAGACGGGAAGATACGAGCTTTGGGCTCTGTCCCGTAAACACAATTAGGTAATCACAATTAGGTAATCACACACACACACACACACACATATATATATATATATATATATATATATATATATATATATATATATATATATATATATATATATATATATATATATATATATATATATATATATATATATATATATATATATATATATATATATATATATATATATATATATATATATATATATATAGATATATAGATAGATAGATAGATAGATAGATAGATAGATAGATAGAAATAAATAAATAAATATATATATATATATATATATATATATATATATATATATATATATATATATATATATATATATATATATATATATATATATATATATATATATATATATATATATATATATATATATATATATATGCACAAACATACACATATACACGGCCCCATTCCCCCTTGGAAAGGAGGTGGCTGAGTCAAGAAACACACATTCATTACAATTCACACATACCTCAACAACTCCTCTTAGCTCCTTGGAGATAAATGGTTGCCACATTTCCCCCCTCTAGCATCCTGGTTGGGTCATCCACAAGGTAGGAGGGCAAGGATATTCTACAGTGAAGCAAGACAGCAGCAGATAAATATATAAATATATATATATATATATATATATATATATATATATATATATATATATATATATATATATATATATATATATATATAACACTCATCTTTGCTTTATAGTCACCAGAAATATTCTATTTATTTTGTGAAGAGTCCAGAACTGTTTGCGGAGGGACTTCAAGTATCCTTAGCTCTGCTCTCTGTTTCTTACTTTCAAAGTTGGCAGAATAATATATATATATATATATATATATATATATATATATATATATATATATATATATATATATATATATATATATATATATATATATATATATATTTAATGTGTGTGTGCGTGTGTGCGTGCGTGTGTGCCCGTGCGAGTTTGTGTGTGTGTGCGTGTGTGTGTTTGTAAAGAAGGAAGATAATCTTTTTCAATGCAAATTGTTATATGTTAATTTTTGATATTTTTGTCCTTGAGTGAATGAAGAAAAGGCAAATTTTTGCATAGTGGTCAACCTAGATATATGTAGATCCGAACAGAAAGGGGGGGGGAGGGTAGGAGAGTTTCAACGATATAACAAAAGAAAAGGGTCGATTAGTCTACCAGATTGTTTTTTCTTGTTTCTTTTCAAGAATTGTCTGGTGATTTATTGACAAGCCAAAGAAGAGATCTATGTGTCAATATATTGAGCTTCAGGTATGAAACGTGTTTTGTTCAGCGTTTAGGAAAGCTGTTTCCTAATGCTTGTTTGTTTGCGAAGAGGCGAATGGCTGCAAAAATTAATCTATTTATTCTAACATATATTTATTTATATATTCATCAATCTATTTACCTGTATACTCATCTATGAATAATCTAATTTTATTTGTATACCTATCTATTTATTTTTTTATTATATTCAATTCTTTATTTACTTGCATATTTCTTTGCTTACATATTTACTTTCTCATCCAGTATCGAAGATACGTCGCCAACATGGCACAGACTGTACAGAATTATTCATGTCAATTCTAAGGTCATATGGTCAGAGGAAGTCAATTATGCACAGCCTAACTTCCGTAAATACTATCTGGGAATATGTGTGTGCAAAGATCATTCAAGGATAAACAGCGATATGCCAATGACAAACTAGCAAAAGAAAATTAAATATCGTATTACCTATATTTCTTAAACCCAAAAGTGGCAGTCACCACATACAAATAAATTAGTTAAAACATTCTTTCAGATAATTGTCGGT